AACAGCGGAGCTCGTTAAATCGCTCTGAACCCACGCGGTCCAAAGACCCAAACGCCGAAACGCGCGATGTTGTCAACGTGTTAAAGATCTCTTCCTGCTCTATCCAACTTAGCTCAATTTTGTTCCTAAAACATTTTCTTATAGCTTTTTCAAAGCTTTGAATGCGGTATACTCGATGAGCAAGTTGGCATGATTTCTTTTTCTAGCTTTAAATAGACCTGAAAGTGGCGGGAACAGGTCAAGATATTAACGATGCACTTGGCTTAGATTCGCAATAAATATGCTCAGAAGCAGTTGTTCAAAAAGCTATTGTAACGAAAGCGAGAGCCTTGGGTATGATGAGAGTGGTGGTCGGATATCGGACGTTGCCACCGATTAGCCAAAAGTTCTGATTGAGCACTCGTGCGTAGACCATTGAGGAGGTTCTGCCCAACCTGGACGTATATGGTTTGTAGAGCCAAGCTATACGGAAGTAGCTGGAAAGTCCAAAAAATTTGATAGGGGCGTGCCGCGACAAATCACCAATTTGAAGGGTCGTCCATCAAATTGTAGCTTGTTTTATGTGATAATAAGCGACTCGTTTTCTACAGATTTGCGACGTACAATGAAGAGGGATTCTTTCTACAGCCCACGAAGCTTTGCTGAATAGATCGACGGCGATCAAGCTCTACAAACTTTGCAAAACTTAAACTGTGCTGAAGGAGGGTTATGGCAACTTTCATAAGGTCAGCGGCTGGCCATGTTCTTCAGTATCAGTGGAACTGTTACAGTGGAAAAGCAATCTTAACATTACGTCAAAATCACCAAAAACTCCAAGATGGGTCCAGCATTCCTCATTATAAAGGACGGACACATCCCTGAAAGGTGTCTTGGACGCACATCGCACCGCCAACCCTGCACAAGTTGGACCAGCTGGGCTACGGAGTGATGCTGCAAACATCTTACTCAGTAGACCTCTGGTCTATCAACTGTCACTTTTCCGAGGATCTCGATAGCTCCTTTGAAGAGAAATGCTTCAAAACCCAACATGATGCTGAACAGTTTCCCTCATTTCATCGCCTCCACAGCTCCAGCGTTCCAAACAAGCGTATCCATTGAATTGGCTTCTTACAGATAAAGGTTCGCGCTTTCGAACGGTTTTTAATCAAC